TAACACATTGTATAGGCGATATTTAGAATCTATAGAGCCTATGAATCCACCAGAAAGAAAAAAAAATCGCTTATTTTAGTCTAGTATTTAACATTGACAATGTTAAATTTGAAAGCAGATATATTAAACTGGGTTAAAATATTATTGGTTCTTTTGGTGAAGTCACGTAGATAGAAAATAAAAAAATATTCAAATTAAAAAAAAGTTTGGGTTAAAAAAGTTTGCCTCTAGCCCATCACAACTTTCTTATCGATACCTCGCACCCAGCACCCAGAATCTGTTATATATATTTTATTACGCTTTTTTACTCTGAAAAGCCGAAGTCTCAACTCTTTCAAGGAGCTTCTGCTAAGATCTTGCAGTGTGGGTGGATGATTGCTATGGGGTTTCCAATTAAGTAATTTGCGAATAAACTACTTTTTTCAAATGTGGACCGTGATGTTTGGCGCACGACGGCCTGCTCGTCTTCGAATGACGGCACAGGCCCTCCAACATCCACCGTGAAGCGGATGGTGCAGAATCATCCATGGTGAACACACTCTCCGATGGAATCGCTGTGCTGCTGTGTCGAGTAAAATTTACAAGTTGCAATTTAAATGCAAAACTGAAGCTCTCCGAAAGGAAATACATTTCATTTTTGTCACAGATGCAGGAAAGTGGAGGTCATGGCATTGTGCGGTGTTTCTCAGCTCCAATTCCTGTCGACCCCTTTGAACCGACCACGTCTTTGTGATTAGGAGTCGTTTCTATTTGTATGCAAATTAACCACTACATACTGCATGATACCTGGTGATCTTGAAGAGCTGTAACATCATTCCATGGGTCACAACAGAAACCGGTACCACCTACGGTGACTAAACTCTCGTGGTCGTGAACAAAAGTGAATAATTATTCACTTGATACTGGCCAAGTAAAGAAATCGAATCCACTAAAACGATGTCACGTCAGGTGGTACGGACAAGTGAGATCTCGCATCTGGTCTAGGCTCGTGGATGACGCGGTTGCGTTACGAAGGCTAGAGTTGAGAAACACTGCCATAATGTACATGTCGAGATGCAGTCATGTTTTGAAGACAGGATATTACGAGCGCATGCACACAATAGTTTAACACGTAGGCTTTCGCGACCAATATCATCCATAATACAAGTTTTGTGGGTTCGATCGCGTAAATATATAAATGTGTCGCTAAACCCCTCTATTTAAGGAACCAAACAGGAGATTTCTCCGCAAATATGGCTGTTGCCTGATGAAGCTAGTTGTAATTACTGGCGAAACGTCGTACTCGGATTGTAAATGTTGTGGCTTTGCTCTCCAACACACCGGTGTGCTGTCCTCGTGATGAATTTGCACGTTCTGTTTACGTGACAAACCTTACTAATTGGCTGTGGCGGGTTTAACGACATTTATGCGATCTAACCCTAAAAACCTCGATTATGGACACATGTTATTAGTGACTCACAACATTTCATCCTCGTTCGCCATGTCGCGAATCAAGACCCCTCCCTCCCCCCACACCACACACAATGTCTTCAACTGTCTTTATGAGGGATTGTGATGTAATATTCAATTGTTGTCTCATTAACGCTCTCGTTGTTATAATTTCTTGATGGTGCTGTTAGATTTTTCCGTATGGTGGAAAAGGTATTTTTCAATTTTGTAAAACATTTCGAAAATAAGTACTTTGTTGCTCAACTGCCAATGGCAAGTATTGACCATGAAAGCCCATCGACCACAAATTTACCTTTTTGTGATGAGCTTAATTAAGTATACAGTATATGTGTAACATTTTATACGTGACAAAAACAACTCAACACATTCGTCAACAGCACTGCCTTGAGAGGAAAAATTTATACAATAGGAGACGTTTCAGGCAATGGCCCTTCATAGCACGTCATGTGTCACATGTCATATGCAATGGAGGACAGTGTGGTTGACGAATCACGTGTTGAGTTTATTGTTATTTGTGCTTGTGCACCACTGCGCAATGCAGCATTGTGCACCACTGCGCAATGCAGCATTGCCAAATAATTTGTTCACTTTTATGTAGATATGCATTATGATCATCACATGTTACAAGTAAGCCAAATAAAAAAATATCCAGGCTATTAACACCAACTTGTGGTACATAATACTGGGTTCAAATCTGATTTCCTCTAAACTTGTTAACTGCAGCGTCAATGGTGCCATCATGCACGCACGTCCAAGAGCTGCCTGTACAGAAATCACACACGTCACAGAAATTATATTCACTCTTTTGAACATTCGGGACTAATGGATTCAAGTACTGTATCTCCTTGTTTTGAAACGGGCAATCAGACAGGCACCACTTTGGCAAAGAAGCTTTCAAACAGCGCGATGCAATAGCAGCCTGTGCTGTCGAGTTGTATACGCACCTTTGCTTGTTGACAATGTACTGCATGTTTTATTTACCGCATATTGTTCGAAAATCCAACATCACAAAAACATCAGACATCATAAAACAATGTATACATGCAGAAACAAATATTGCTCAAATCCAAACATATGGTATAGATTAACCCAACACATAAATTAGGGCGGCGATGGTGCAGCGGATAACACAATGCACTCATAACCCTGTCGCCCGAGTTGGATTCCCAACCACGGCGAACACGAGGAGCGAATGCTGTCTGACTGGGTTCTGGTTCTCCTCTTCAACCCACACTGACAAGGCTGCTGAAGTATGGTCAAACGTCTCGCACGACCGACACTGCGGTGACTGCGTGGGAAGGCCATCACGTGGATTAACCCAAGGGCTGTAATGGCATTGTCCACACGAGTGGTGAAGATACAATACGAACCCTCCACGGAGAGACGGGCTCGCTACCCCACATCTCCATCTTTGCACCCCCAGTCACCCCCCCCCCCCCTTCATGAGTGACCCCCCCCCCCCCCCAGTGACCGTGGGGCACCCCACATAGCCAACCCTTATAAACTAAACATTTGTATTTATTTTACCAGGTAAGGCCCCCACTGAGCTATGCTGGACAGCTCTTTTTCAGAAGCGACCTGGCCATCACAAATGATAGCTCAACCAAGTGGCGTTATCGTCATCGTCACGTGGACATTTATAGCAGCCAACTTAGCCCCACCCGGCCCCCCCCAACCCCAAGCGCGCACCCCTCTCACGGCCCCCACCCCCTCCACCCGCGTGCCCTCCCTTACCCGCGCACTGGGCACCCGCGTGCCCTCCCCGCGTGCCGGGCCCCTCCCCCCTGTATGTGATGATTGGGAAGGAGGGGGAAATCGTTCTGACAACAAAACGTGAATTCGATATTGTGCGGTTTTCAACAAAACGCATGCGTGACTTTTCAATGTAAATTGAAAACGCGTTTCTTTAGAACCGCTTTGTTGTGTTTAGTTTGTTTTCCTTCCCCCAGCACCTCCGATTAGCGTGTTTGGCTACGTGCGGTGGGAGAGAAGTTCGACATACACGTACTTGACGAGGGGAGTGCTATCACGTGCCAACATGGCACATTTTAAGTTCAATCAACACGGATATACCTATCAACCCGTACCGTTTACCCGTATTCTGGTGCAGGGAAATTTAGTATCCAGGTTCATACAGCATACAGCCGTTTCTAAATAAAATACATGTCTATTTGTTTATGTTTCGCCCTTGTGATTCGACTTTGTAGGATGAACGTTGAGATTTATAATGGCACGGAGTGACCAATAAGGTCTGAATTGTTCTGTAATAAGGTAGGGCACTGATAAGGGGTTGACAGGTATGGGATATGTTTTGATACAGGTAGGAACAATAGTTCCACACTGCCCACCAGGGATTATTTGTCAGTCTGTCGTGCATGGCCCCGCCCCACCAGAGCCCTCCCATTGGCTCGGGGGCGCCGACCAATGGGAGCGGTGAGTTGGGGTTGGTAGAGGGGGGGGTTAGTGGTGGGGGGGGGGGCACCGCTGCGACTCGGGCCAATGAGGAGACAGGCAATGTTTCATTCACAAAATGGAACTTGGGGAGGGTGGCTCCATTCATAAAATGGAAGCCTTGAAAAGAAAAAAGCAGATCTTTTTGCCTCGTGTTTCTTTCAACATTCCCAGCCTTAAGGTGATTCAGTTGGGGGTGGGAGGGGTGGGGCTGGGTGGAGAGGGGCTGGGTGGGGAAGGTGGGGCTGGGTGGGGAGGGTGGGGCTGGGTGGGGAGGGTTGGGCTGGGTGGGGAGGGTGAGGGTGGGGCTGGGTGGGGCTGGCTGGGGAGGGTGGGGCTGCGTTGGGAGGGTGAGGGTGGGGCTGGGTGGGGAGGGTGAGGGTGGGACTGGGTGGGGAGGGAGAGGGTGGGGCTGAGTGGTGAGGATGGGGCTGGGTGGGGAGGGTGGGGCTGGGTGGAGAGGGTGGGGCTGGGTGGGGAGGGTGAGGGTGGGGCTGGGTGGAGAGGGTGGGGCTGGGTGGGGAGGGTGGGGCTGGGTGGGGAGGGTGAGGGTGGAGCTGGATGGGGAGGATGAGGGTGGGGCTGGGTGGGGAGGGCGAAGGTGGGGCTGGGTGGTGAGGGCGAGGGTGGGGCTGGGTGGGGAGGGTGGAGCTGGGTGAGGGTGGGGCTGGGGGGTGAGGGTGGGGCTGGGTGGTGAGGGTGGGGCTGGATGGTGAGGGTGGGGCTGCGTGGGGAGGGTGAGGGTTGGGGCTGGGTGGGAGGGTGAGGCTAGGTGGGGAGGGAGGATGAGGGTGGGGCTGGGTGGGGAAGGTGAGGGTAGGGCTGGGTGGGGAGGGTGGGTGGGGAGGGTGAGGCTGGGGCTGGGTGGGGAGGGTGGGGCTGGGTGGGGAGGGTGGGGCTGGGTGGGGGAGGAGGGTGAGAGTGGGGCTGGGTAGGGAGGGTGGGGCTGGATGGGGAGGGTGAGGGTGGGGCTGGGTGGGGCTGGGTGGGGAGGGTGAGGGTGGGGCTGGATGGGGAGGGTGAGGAGGGTGAGGGTGGGGCTGGGTGGGGAGAGTGAGGGTGGCGCTGGGTGGGGAGGGTGGGGTTGGGTGGGGCTGGGTGGGGAGGGTGGGGCTGGGTGGGTCACCCCGTGGTCCCCTTATAAAACTCAACGTTTAACCTACACACTACACGATACACGACACGATACACTACACTTATACAGGTAGTAACAGCTTCCACACTGCCCACCAGGGATTATTTGTCTGGCTGTCGTGCACGAATGCGCTGTCCAACCAAGTTCCTACCTGCCCACTCCGAAGGAACGTGTCGCATGTATAGCGTGTTTGTTGTTGTAACATTCTGACCCTACCAGTGGCGGGCCGTGTATTTTACACCCATGTCTTCAGTGCTATCCTCCCGCAATTAAACAGCCTTCGAATAACCTCACCATGACACTAGGGCTATTGTCATTCGACTTAACCACCCCATATTCACAGTGACGGTAACCTTTATCGAGTAGAATAAAGTGATTTAACACGAGGATCAACACCTATGAGAGTTACAATACACTAATTGGCAGAGACATGAATATTTGGTGACTGAAACCATCAAGGATGTACCACTATTACGCAGTATGATAGGATGCTGCATCACAAATAGACATCGCATCGCCCAAATCAATGTCATTACCAAAGTAACAAGAACAAACTCACAACAACCAGTCACATTTACTCATACGACCACCAAGCAAGCATAAATTCTGTAAAACACAAATAACACAATCAGGATTCAACAGGCTTCCCCACAGAAAAAAATCTAAAGCACTCCATCTAAAAATCTAAACGTCACGAAAGAAAGTTTAAATACATTTTAAATGATGCTACGTTATGTGCTAGCTAGTTTTACTTCATTCAGCTTACTGGCCCTCCGATCACACCACACGAAAAATGCGAACGTAGGCGGCTAGGCCAGCTCGAAGGCTCCGGCGTGTCAAAGAATACGCCCAACATGGCAACCTCGAAATCTGATTGGTTAAAGAATATGACAACAACATCGTCCCCATTTTCTTCAACAGCAGAGGGGATTCATTTGACATTCTGAAGGCCTCAGGGTAGATTTTTCACCCAGAGAGGCTGAGATAGCACATGTGGAAAATCTGATTGGATAAAAGCTCTCATTTATGTGAGCTGTAGTCGACGCAGCGCAACTGAGGGAGAGAGTAGCAATGAAATTACATTAATAGACTGATGGGAACTAACTTTGTAAAATACATATAGCATTAATGGAAATATATATTAAATTATAAAAATAAATTTTTCTGATTCTGACAATCTCTAAGCCAGCAGAGAAGGCCTTGCTGGCCCTGACGGCCCGCCTCTGGACCCTACTGGAGCGGGTCAGAAGAGCTTCATAGCTCATCGGATTCCTCCAGGATGAATACAGATTCTGATTGTGTTTTGTCACCTGTGTTTTCCAAGAATCGTCCTTGAGATAGCTGTCTTGGGAAGTCTTACAGATTTTCCAGGATATTAAAAGTTCTGTTTTTATTGCCAGTTGCGTAGTAATAACAATAATCATCATCATACTGTACACCACAGCAAGACATTTACGTGCAGTTCTCCCATCTTCCGGTATTGTGGAGACATTCCTTTAACTCCTACAATTTGTCCCGGAAATGTATGAGGTGGCAACCCTCCTGTGGCGCGGCGCTCATGAGTTGCATGCCCTGCACGGCTCTGATGTTCACAACCCGGCGGGTCAGGAAACTCGCGAGCTGTGCCGTGCACATTGTTATATGATCCTCATTTTCTTCCTGAGCAGGGTGGCGATCTCGCGGTGACCGTCCGTGTCGCCTGCCTCCGCCAGCTGCAGTGGCGTTTTGTCCAGAGCATTGGCGGCGAACAGGTTCGGCTTCTCAGGGCCCTCGGCCCACCCGGCCAGGAGTTTGGCCGCCGCCACGTGGGCCCCCCGGACAGCGCAGTGCAGGGGGGTGTCGCGCGAGTTGTCCAGGGCGTTGAGCGACGCACCGCCGCTCTTGAGCAGCAGCTCCACCAGCTCGGGCCGCCCCGTCTCGGCCGCGATGTGCAGTGGCGTCTTGCGCCACGTGTTGCGCTCGTCGGCGGCCGACTTGCGCTTGCTGTTGGTCTTCCCCGCGCGGCCGGCCTCCAGGAGCACCCCGGTGGTCTCCGCACTGCCAGCGGCAGCGGCGAAGTGGAGCGCGGCGTTGCCGTCCATATCGCGCGAGAAAGCCTTGGCTCCCCTGGCCAGCAGCAGCGACACAGCCGACGCGTGGCCGTGTCCCGCCGCCAGGTGGAGAGGGGTCTTCTTCTCTCCATCGGCCACGTTCACATCGGCTCGCTTCTCCTCCAGCAGCACCTCGAGCAGGTGCACGTCGCCGCCCATCGCTGACAAGTGCAGCGGCGTCTTGCCTTTTTTGTCCTTTGCGCCGGGGTCGGCGCCGTTCTTCACCAGCAACCGGGCCACCTCCACGTAGCCTGATTCGACGGCGAGATGCAGCGGCGTGGCGCCGTCCCTGCCTGCCGCGCCGACCTTGGCCCCTTCCCGCAGTAGGAGCTCCACCACGGCGAGGTGGCCCTCGGCGGCCGCGGAGTGCAGGGCCGTTCGCTCCAGGTGGCCAGCGACACCAACGGCCAGGCCCTTGCCGAGGAGCAGTTGCACCGTCGATAAGTGACCTTTGCTGCTCGCCAGGTGCAGGGCGGAGCTGGAGTCTGACGTCCTCACGTCAACACGGGCGCCCTGCTCCAGCAGCACCAGCGTCACATCCGCGTGACCCATCTCTGCCGCAAGCAGCAGCGGCGTGTAGGAGGACCTCCCAGCGTCCGCCACGTTGGGGTCAGCGCCCTGCTTGAGCAGTGCGAGCACCGTGCCGTCAAAGCCTCGCTCCACAGCCTTGAAGAGGAGCCTCGTCTTGGCCTCGTCCGACATTTCCCCAAGCGCGTGGCTCAGCAGCAGCAGCTCAAACACGCCTGCATTGTTGGCGTCAAATGCCACGTCGACGAGGTCATGGTCGCACTTGGCGCCGGCCGCCAGGAGGACCTGCACGGTCTCTGTGAAGCCGCCGGTAACAGCATAGTAGAGCGCCGTGCGGTCCTTCTCATCCGGAGAGGCCACGTTGGCTCCGCACTGTAGCAGCGCGGCCACGACACGGCTCTCGTTCTTGAGGGCCGCCATATGGATGAGGTGCTTCCTGCGGTCTCGCCGCGTCTTCTCGTGCTCCACAAGGACGCTCGCGGCGCTCGTGTGGTTGTTTCTCAAGGCCAGCTCGGCAGCATTCTCCCCCTTGTTATCCAGAGTGTAAACATCAGCCCCGGCGCTCAGCAGCAATCGGAGCACTGCATCTTGGCCACTCTCAGCCGCTGCGTGAAGCGCGGTTCGCCCATTTACATCCTTCATATTGAACTTGGCTCCCTTCTTCAGCAGGAACTCCACTAAGCTGGCATGGCCCTGTGCGGCGGCCAGATGAAGCAGGGTCTCCTTCCTCTCATTCATCTTGTTCATGTCGCCACTTGTCAGAGAAGCCCTCTCGAAGTAGGCGAGGTCTCCGTCGATTGCAGCCTTGAAGGTCGCTTCATCGGTGACCACCAGGACCTCGGGCTGCGGCTGCGGCGGTGGCGGCTCTGTTTCCTGTGCCGGCTTCTCCACCTTGGGCGGAGGGGCGTCTCCCACCGGCATCTTCCTGGGCTTGCGGGTGATCACCTTGACCTTGCTGGGCGGATCGTCGCCATTCTCAAACTCCTCCAGGCTGCCGTTGTCTCTCTCGAGCAGGTAGCCGATGAGCTGGCGTCGGCTGTCGCCCACCTGGCGCGACACCTCGCCCACGTAGCGGCGAATGGTGGAGTAGAGCTCGGGCTCGGCCTGCTTGAGGCACGGATGGAAGAAGAGGCGGCATGCCCGCTCGCCGGACCGCGCCACCATCTCGAGCATCCGCGTGTTGCGCTCCTCGCGTGTCCGCAGCGTCGACAGCGCCATCCTCTTGTCGTAGCTGAGCACGCCGTGCTCCACAAGCGACTCGAGCAGCTGCTCGGTGTTGATGATGCCCCGGGAGAGCTCCTTCTTGCGCAGCCGCACCACGTCGATGGCGTACGGGTTGGAGGTCTTGGCGCCAGGGGCCGCGTTCGTACCCACGTCCAATCGCGCACGTCCCTGCTTGTCTTGCTCGCCCGTCATTTGCATACGAAGGAGGTTGAATGTCTGCGATGGTGGCTGCTGCTGCTGTTGCTGCATTCTATCTCAGCACGATGATCTGATCCAATCACTCGTTTCCCCTTAATGCTGCATATTGGCCGGAATTCCGAATGCGAGTTCGGGATGTGTTCCCAATTTTCAAACTCTTAAAGAAATGAAAGTTCTTGTTTTGTTTCAAATTAATCCGAAAACTCAAAGGGATGTCACTAATATGTCACTCCCGTGCTCCAAAAGTGACGGAACGTGGATTCAAGTGACGTCACTATCGTTAGCATTAAGATGTTGCTACATTAGGACACGATGTGAACAATCTGAAAATCCGAAAAATATCTGAAATGTAATAGGCTCAACTAAAACTTTATAAAAAATGCGGACTACTACGTGGTTCTTTGTCCACGGTATTTGCAAACACATGTAGCGGTGTAACCTCACCGGGCGTGTACTGATTCTGAATTTTGCTCATTTTGTATCAGCACTCTTACCTGTGTATTGACCTCATGGTTTAAACAATGATCATTCAGTAAAAGAAAAGTGGGTATTTTCGTTTTAATTTATCATATTTAATAATAATTAAGATCATTCAGACACGTCCAGTTGAATATGTTGTTATTGTTCGATATTCATGATTGCTTGTGTCTCTTTAAAAGCGAAGTTAGAAGATAAATGTATAGTTTTTCAATTTGGATCTCCTGTATAATACACATGATATTGAATGATGAGGTCTCTACTACTACAGAAATTCTATCGAAGCTCTTGCATTGGAAGCAATAGCAATTAGATGGATTAATATTCAGTCTATTAATATTAGCGTGTCGTGTACCCTATGCACCATTCGTTGTTGTCTCTACAGGCAAAGCCTCAATGAACGGTTGCACATTGAATGCCAGCCACGCATATCGAAAAAGGAAGCCTTTGTAAATGTACGGTGAAATAGTAATTTAGTAATCAGCCCAACAATCATGATGAATTTCCAAAAGCCCACAAGATTGCTATTCTTGCCACTGGTTGCCGAAATCTCTAGTTTGTTCTCCCTGCACGTCCAGTACTCTATTGGCCAGGATGCACTGCTTGGTGGCGTTTCTGTGAACAGAAACAAGAGAATTCACGAGCATACATCGTCACACATTATAATCGAGGTTTCCCTCGCTTTATGCAGTAGATACATAAAGTCAGGGAAAAAACGCACACAAAGCGAAACCGCACACGACAGCTGTCTGCCGAGTAGCGCGTATACTACACACACAGTACACACACAGTACACACACACAGTATGCACACAGTACACACAATACACACAGTACGCACACAGTACACACAATACACACACAGTACGCACACAGTATACACAACACACAAGTACATACACACAGTACACACACACAAAATACACAATACACACACACTACACACACACTACACACACAGTACACACAATACACACACAGTACACACACAGTAGACATCATGTTGTCCGACGTCCGACCGCATAGCCGCATGTAAAATTAATTCAAACCGCATAATATAGCTAATTTTTGGTAGAAATAGGTGAGCTGCATGTACGCGAAATCACACAAACCGAGCTCCTGCATAAAGCGAGGGACACCTGCACTGCATACGCTATCTCAACAAGCAGCGGCAATCAATCACCTCGACTGTTGTGCTCTATCACAGCAACTCGCAGCCTATCAGGGGCCCTGCGTGCCACTGTCAACCCTTGAAAAAAAATGTTTGCGGGAGCACCGCGCGCTCGTGACATTTTGTATTATTAAAGCTGCTCTAAAAACCTCAGTATCACCAACGGTGTTGTGGACCACTTCCCATGGCCTTAGGGACCACCAGCGGTCCCCGAACCTCAGGTTTGGAACCACTCCTCTGTTGGCAGTTTGTCTGACAAAACGCGGCGTTAACACAAGAAAGTTCTACGCCAGAAATGTTCAAATACATTTCCAAAGGTCGCACAACACTTCAATCACAACCCACGACACGTTTCGCCACTTGTTTGCAGAGGTTATCGGCTGTCCTCGTTAATATTTCAGGTGTACGAACCATAAAATACTGCAAGGTATCATCTGCTTCACAGTGGACGTCAGAGGTTACCGTGACATCATTTGAAGAATAGTGGGCAATTGTGTGGAGGCGTTACGGTCTAAATATGAAAAGTTACTTGCAGATACTCATACTAATTTCAGATAACTTAATCTGGACGATATAACACCTCACGTAACAACATCGTCCCCTACTGATAGACCGATGTGCATTTGATGAGAAAATGAAAATAAAATAACCCTGTTCTTATTTGCTGGCAGAAAGGGTAAAGCGTATTCGTATTTTCTCATCATTTTGATATTGGCAAAAAGGTCCCATCGACGATGCCCATTTGCAGACTGGTGCTGTACAGACTGGTGGTGTACAATATCGGTATGCTTGCCACTGGGGTTGCGGGTCTCCTTGTTGGCGAGACAGCAGCAGGGCATCGGAATGGTTGACATGGGATGCGATATACAGTAATACACTTTGAGTTGCAGAGCCGCACGATACATCACAAATGCTTATCTGGAGCGTGCGTCAATGTCCAGAGGTCAGAGCACAGCCAATCCCACTCACGCCACCCAGGGGGTTCTCAATTGCTGCTCTTTGCGAGCTGTGAAGGGCTTGAAACTCTGGGTAACGAGCAGGAAGCACAATGTGAATGGCCAAATGGGACACGCTTGAGTTGTCATGCAAGCCTAATGCGTGAGCGTCGCCATCGTGTGACTGTGCGACATACGCCTGGGTTTCCAGTTAAGATTTTTTTCGGCTCAAATTAAGTGTCCGAGAGCACGTCCAGCGTGGACATGGAGCGGTGAAATCGTTTGGTGTGCACGTGCAGGGTGGATTGGTGCATCTCAGGATCGTGGCGGGGGTGGCTTGGGGAGCAGTTGTTTGAACATGACTGATGATTACAAAGTGCCAATTACTCAAGTGCAGTGCTTTTGGAAAATTGATGGGATGGGTAAAAACCAGATCATATCTCTCTTAGAAAATATTCATCCCACTCAAGGCGTGTGGCCAGTTGCAAAAAACACCCTTGGTTGAAATGGCGCAAAGTTTGTAATTTAAAGTGATATCAAAAATTAAACCCAAATCCAATTATTATTTACGGCCCTCTGTCAATCTGCTGCTGAAGTCCTCCCACAATGGGGATCCGTTTGATCATACTTCACCACACTGGTCAGGGTGGGTTGGTAAAAGTGGGGGTGGCGAGGGAGACTTGTCCAAACATATGTTGCCACTGACGTTAACCGTGGCTGGGTATCGGCCTCGGGTTGCGCGGTTCAGAGTGTGTACTCATCGTGTAAGCCGATATGGGTTATTTGCACTGCGCGATGAACCTGACGACCTAAGTTTGATTCCCGGCCATGTCATGCCCACTCTTCTAAGGCGGTGCACATCTCCTGTTTATAGAACCAGTGGTGGAAATTCCCCATTCATATGGCGGGGGCAAGTATATCCATTTGGCAACCGCTGTTGACTTCCCCACAAAGTGGTACTCATTATATCGACCCTGGTCCAAACCAGTTATAAAGTTATGCACACTTTATATGCGTGAGACTATGGATTATATGAAGTTTCAGTCCTGTAGCGTAACTCGAGACGAACGTGCTGAGTTTTTTTTGGAAGGGGGAGGGGGGTTATAGCTCCGGTGTTGATAACTGAGCGCGTGTGAACACTGCACCCCTTAAGACCGACGGAACGCGGATGCCCCGATTGTGTTTCGCCCCCGCGCCGTGCCCGGGGGTCTCAAGTGGCGACAACGACGCGGGTCAGCCAAGGAAGCAGGAACAGCTTCTCCGTGGTGGTCCTGCCGTGCCGTTGTCGGCACGCGTGTGTTTGTCTCGAGTAAATACCCTCCTCCTTCTGAGTCGGGCCCCTGAGCCAGACTTGTCTTCCCATACAGTGTGATCATTGTGCGCTTTCTCGTTCATTTCCCGATGCTTTGTATCCCCCCACACACACACACCGGCACTCATCATCATCTCTCATAATACAATTTTTTTGGGGTTAGATCGCGTAAATACATAAATGTGTCGTTAAACCCGACACCACCCGACACAGCAATTAGTAAGGTTTGTCACGTAAACAGAACATGCCAATTCGTTACTAGTACAGCACACCGGTGTGTTGGAGAGCAAATCAGATTGTAAATGTTATGGCTTTGCTCTCCAACGCGATCTAACCCAAAACAAACTATATTATGGATGATATTGGTCGCGAAAGCCTCCTGCGTATGAATCATCATCACTGCTGTCGCGTGTTGTGTATTCGCTGCATTGCACGGGCCGCAAACTCGCAGCTCTTTAAAGATTGCTTCGTGGCTCTCAATGCCATCATTGCAAAGTGTAAAAAATAAAAACCCAATCCTAATTTTATTTTAAATAAAGGATGAACGTCTAAAAAGCCCAACAATTAATCGTAACTAGCCTTTTGCCCGTCCAAGGACGGGTGTATTGCAGTAAATCTGAAACTTGCAAGCGAAAAGCAGACGTGATATTCATTGCATTAATGCGTGTGCAATTTGTAAAGGCGCGGTGACACTGACCTATTTCATTTAAAGGTTCTAATGCCTTGTTCATCATGACGTCCTTTTTACTTCTATATAGCGTTACGGAGATCGCGTGACGTGAGGATTCTGCCTTTGTAATGAGGGTTGTAAGTTGACGCTGAGGAGGGGGGAGGAGGCCCCTTGGCCCCCCATGTGGAGTGACGTCACCCACTAATTATTATGAATGGGGGGGGGGGATGTCCATTTGGAGGATGTCACCTGTTCATGATTATTAATGAGGGGGGCTGGTCGACGTGGAGTGACGTCACGTGCGTTACACACTGACATTCTTGTAGTAAATACGGTCTTACAAATCATTGTGCGTGTGCTGTTCTTAAAATAGCGATTGCAAAAAAATATGGTTTGACGTTATTGATTAAGTAACCTGTCTTGTATTCACACGCATTGCGGCTATTGAGTTTGTTTTACCAAATTATAAGAAAGCGGCTCTTCTTGTTATTTTGGTGGCCGACCCCTCTTGTATAGAGTTTTGTGTCGAGCTCGGACCCATGTCGACAAGAGAGAGGGGTCCTGGCCTACATACAAATCTGTCAGCTCACCCACCAGCGACAATTACTGTTGAAAGGTCGTGGAAGCGACTTCTGGAATTCGGTCTTTATTTGTCTTTCATTCACAACACTCCTATCTTACTCCTTCACGCTGCTGACAGACAGCGTGAAAGGAATAGATAGAGAGAGAGACACGCGCGGCCACGTGGCAGCCTGGACCCCGCTCCAGCGTGGCCTCACCCTCTGTTCGTTCCAGATCTGACCACGTGTTGTCCATCTCCACCCCTTTTAATACCCGGGTCACGTGGTACCTTTCCACCAGTCCTGGTTAACATCTATGGAATCTTCTAGACTCCATCGTACGCTCCCGGGACCACGCCCCTGACTCGTCCCCCCATTGGCTGTGGCTAAAGCCAGCAGATCCAATCCTCTACTTACAGATGTCACCTTCCCATTACGTCAGGGCCACGCCCCTAGACTTCCCCCCATTGGCTATGGGCCAGGACCGGCAGAGCCAATCATCATAGCGAGGTGTGATCCATCAGCAACCTGGATATATCCTCACATTACACTTGTAATGCTGAAAAATGTACTACTAACAAAGGACGTGTAGCTGATGGGATCCTGTATTTAAAGATAATGCTTTTATTTTTATGTGGAGAGACAACTATGGATAGGAGGCGTATCGTCTACTTATTTTGTTTCCATTATTCGAGTCGTAGGGGTCTTCATCATCAGCAGCCAGGATGTATCCACTGCTACCATGAACACCTTCTCAAGATGTAGTCGTCTCTCAGCCTTGTGATGTAACAAATCCACGTAGCACCTGCACCCTTAGACAATCCCATCACTCCAACTCCTCGGTTGACGGACTTTCAGGTGGACATACTTTCGGACGCGTTCCCTCCTTTGGCTGCCACTCATTCAGAGAGATGGAGTGATGTGATCAGCCAGTTTGGCGAGATGTTAACTACCCCGCCTGGTATGCA